AATCAATCAAAACAATAGTATGTACTGCAGGTAGATCGATGGACCACTGTTAAGAACTGTGGACAGAAGGTAAACCCTATTAGCTCTTGAAAGGTACACTAAAATAAACATTGCCTTTCCAACCACACTAGCACACACTGCTGCTGCTGAGGTAGAGAATCATTTATACACGTTTGTGATCACTCATTTTGGCGTTCATTTTCATTTATATTAATTACATTTATTTGATTTGTTTCACTAGGTTTTTAATTCACTGATATCCCAATAACACAATGTTTCAATTGTAGTTGTACATGTATTGAGTGAAAAATAGCAAAAATAAAAAACCCAGTGAATAATTAATGAGGTTACAGTACCGCGGTAACCATGGTGACTGTAATCTGTTGCCGATTTGCAGTGGCACCAACTGTCTTTGATTGCAAGGCAGGATTCTTTGATCTCTATGATAAGAAACAGGTCATGCTGTTTATTTGAGATCATGGGCTTTACAAGTTAAAACTCATTTGCTGTGATACAAGACAGATGGCCGTTTTGACTGAGTATAGAACATACATATTTCAATGTAAACACAAAAGTCATTAATGTCTATAGAGTATAGGTCTTGTTAGCATCAAACAATTTAGTCTACTTTCAACTAGTAAAAACACACAAGATTATGTTTGATAGAAAACATTCTCTCTGAGTGCGGCCAATTTTGTCATGTTATTTTGTGTCATTGATAGATTATATTATTGTTTTAATTTTGTTTATTTTGCTGACTGGAAAATGAGCTAAATTAAAACCCAGTGAATATGTAAAATTGAGCATAGAAACATTATCTAAATGATAAAACTGTGAATTTAAAACCCCCTGATTATGCCTGAAATGCTAGATCAGTGAAATTTAAACCCAGTGAAAATTTGATTTAAAGATTCCCAATCTCTCAAGTTTATGATGAAGTGTACTGTATTTGTAATATGGCGGGTATATGCCACAATATTGTGTATGCATAACAGCTTGGCTGCATTTACCCACAGATTATCTGCCAGACATTATACACGCTGGGTATATCGATATAAGTACCAATCAGCCCACACAGTTACTTGATGGTATTTAGAACTATATACCAATAATGCCATTATCCGCTGATCCAATTAGAAATGCATTATCTGACTAGTGATTTTCACACACTCTTGTTGTATCAATATAATTTCATTCAGTGCAATTCTGGAATAAAATTATTTATTTATATGATTGCATCTTTACGCATTAAATTTCTGTCTCTACTGGAGGGTGCATTTGTTTACATTTTACATGCATTCACATGTGCAGTTGCTAACTCTCATACACAAAGATAAAATACATTTTTTGTAATCACATGCTGATATAAAATTATTCAGGTATGTATCCATCAATAAAACAACTTGTCACAGGAAATCACAATATAGGGTTGATTTTTGCACAGCAATTTTACACAAGCTGGCTGGTCATAATGAGAGTGAGGGATTCCAATAAAATAAGGATGAAATCAGTTGAATTAACTTTTATGGAAGATTATAAAAATAATGTCAAAATTATGTAATAAATGTGTAATATTTATAAATAATAAATTTCATTTTAATGCATTTTCAGCGCCACACACAAGTTGCAATGAAAACAGTTATTTTGATTATGTTTTTATTTTAAATTGGCTATACATAATAGCAGCTTGGTAGACAATTAATTTTAATTACTTAAAATTACTTGTGTGTGCGTCTTTCTTAAAACTACAGCTTTTCGCTGCTCACAATAACTCAAATCACTGCATATTGTGTTTAAGATTTCATTAAATGTTTCTGCCATTTCATTAGAGCATTTCTTAAATAATAAAATTGTGTTTGGTTTCTGTTGTTGAACTGGTCATAACCTTAAGTATACTTCAGTATGGCGGTCTAAAATTGGTTTTGCACATAACATGGATGATTTCAGCCAATGATAAGTAATAGTCTACAGCACTATACAATGTATATCCACAAACTTCTTGAGAAAGCTGACTTGTGATAACTTTGGTTTATTCTGTTTAGAATGAAAGCTTTCATTTTAAAGAGACACTACGGAAAGTTAATCTGAATGGCTTGCCATCAAAAGAAGAGCTGTTGGCAATTACTGTGTATTGTATGATTTTCAGTGCAGTGCCGTTCATAGAGCCGTTCAGCAGAGCGTCGTTCAATAGCTTTCATTGTATGGGAAGCAATGTCTCAGCATGCTCGTCATTCCGTCTGCTTCCTGTTGTTCAATTAAGAATTTAGTGCATTCATCCTACCAGTAGTATTTTAGAACTTTCCTGGTATTTTCCTTGCAATTACTATGAATTGCACAAATTATGGAAAATCATGATAAATTTTGTTATCACAAATGTGTTCAAATTTTGAATTAGCGAGGATTTCTAGCAATGAAGATTAAATTGTATAAAAAATTCAAAATAAAAGGCACAAAGCAGTAATACAGAATGGTGCATAAATGATGTATTTAACTGTTTTTTCACATAAAATTTATATTCATTGTAGAGAATGAAATTACAATCTTCTTTAGTGAGCATAATGTAGTCTACATTTAACTAATCGTCTCCAAATGAGAATTGTTTGTAATTTTTCAATGTATCTGCAAGTTCCGTCCCTATCTAGCTAGATCAATGGTTAATGTTATCAAAATATGCCAAATACACATTTTGTTAATAAAAATGATTTTTTTTTCTCTTGTCAGAATAAGAAGCAGAAATGGAAAAGCAAATAATACGTGTTCTACTGTTCACTTTATCGGTGTGTTATGCGATTTACTTGGTGCATGCATGCAATGAAGCAATGTGTGCCAGTGACGTATCCAAGTGTCAGCTCATGGAATCCTGTTCCTGTAACTTCAAAAACCATTCATGCAGTCAAAATTGCTCCCGATGTCTGGGTCCACTATACACAGAATGCTGCGACTGTGTGGGTGAGTTGTTTCACCCTGTCAAACATTTTATATATTTATATGTACTTTTCAATGATTTGGTTACAGAACTTAATCAGAATTTTCAATAAATTTCAGAGAAAATTATTTGTTTTGTGAAAGTGATAGAAGTTGACTTCGGTGCTAAAAAACATACCAAAAAAGATCATGCAGGAAAATCTATTATTTAGTGACCTCATTTGTCTATTTGGAATGTTTTAAATAATTAATGAGGGATATTTTATTATATTACACATGTATTAATTCATTCCATTCACATAGGCAATAACTTGCTGAATTCATTTTGCTGCCCCAAACTAATATCTATTTTTCTTCCCAAGACATCTTTCTCATGTACATTTTGTTGTATTTTGGTACTATACTTAATGAATTTCTTAAAATTTAAATATGCATTAATTACCGTAAAATCTGTATTAGAAGCCGCATTCCTAATGGAAGTCTATTGAACAATTAAAATGCCTATGCAATGCCCACCTTCACGTTTCCCATTTTAGATCTGTGTCCCACTGAAATGGACAGTTATTGATTTTTTTTCTGAAAATGATTACTCGTATCCAAGTAAATTTGGGATATTTCTCGTGTTGTAGCCACGCCCACTTATCCTGAAACGGTCGACTGTTTCCGGATTTCCGACTCTCGCCGAAAGTGCGCCACCAAATGACAGAATGTGAGAGGAAGTCGTACCCCTGACTAGTGATAACACTGGTCATTCAGTATACTTTTAAACGATATACTGGGGTACATTTTTCGGTCGGCGTTTTTTTTCTTTTTTTTGTCTATTTTAGTTTTAGTTTTTAAATGTTGTGTTGTGGGCAGTTGCAGTGAAACGTATAGTGTTTCTAATCGATCCGAAGGTGCGACATCAGTGGACGAAAGCCGTGCGGCAAGTGTTTCAAATGAGTTGACTTTTTTGCGATCCTGATCATCGTTCCATAGAGACCATTTAGTCCCTGTTAAGTAAAAGGTAGCAATAATTTTGACAGTGACACGAAAACGAAGCATCGGACAAACAGGAAATTACACAGCCCTTGCACACTGCTAAATTGTTTTCATTTTCGAAGGCTAAAAGTTTCTGAATTCATTGGTGATTGGTGTTGAATGTCGAATTCACACCTCTGTTCTTTTTTACCTTCATGCTTCCAGCTTGATCTGCGTAATAATTTATGAAATAAGAATCCGGGCTTGGTCATGTGTTTCCACCAAATAAAGTTTTATATCATAAATATGATGTTATAATTATGACGATCACGCCACGGATCACGCTAACTCGAATCCACTCTGAATTTATCTGTATGTGTGTCGATTTCGATTATTTTTGTTATCCAATTAAACGCCACTTTTAACGCACTT